CTCAGTAAATAATAAATGTTTTCTGCTTCAATTATTTTTGTTTTTTATGAAGTTATTGGTTTTAAAAAAAAGTCTTCATTTTGGAGCTGATATGGGTAGGAGAACTGTAGAGAATTTGGGAACAATGGATGATTGTTTTATCCTAGTATATATGACTCTTGAGTAGTGTGTACCCATGAACCAATGGGCTATCGAGCCTAGAATCTTGTTTGTTCTATCTTTAGTTGTAGGTGATTAGATTAAAGAATATGTTGACATCATTTGGAAACATTGTATCAGTATATCCTCAAATCATAATATCTACACTATTGAGAAGTTTTGTATCGAGAACGTATTGTATGAATATCATTATGAAAGAGAAATAACATTCCCTTTTAATTTATATATGCATCATTTTGCTTGAAAAGAAAGCCTAGAATGAAATAATGTCATATATTATATCATTTTAATCTATCTTTTAATGGTTTTAACCATATTCATATAGGGAGTACTTACATTTATAATGATGTAAAAAGTATTTTTAATTTTCAGTAGTTTCTGTATCAGATCCGAAGGTATCATGAAGTTACTTTTAATCATGCGAGATTTTTTTATAGTCGTTTTATACTGAGCAATATAGGTGTTTTTTGTTGTTGTAATTTTTCGTAAGCTTCAGTTAATTAATTAATGAATTAATTAGAATTTCAATGAACACTAGAATAAAATTATTTTTATTAAAATAAAAATCACTTTTGAAGTCTCTTTGAAGTCATTAAAAATCCGATTACAATATAGTTCATATATATTTATGCTAACATGGCATGTTTTTACGGCATATTAAATTAATCCAGGTTATTAATCGTACACAACTGGCCTTTACTACTACTACTACTACTACTACTACTACTACTACTACTACTACTACTACTACTACTACTACTACTACTACTAATAATAATAATAATAATAATAATAATAATAATAATAATAATAGTTTTATTTCAATCACTACGTGTGCTACGGTATGGAATTCTCAGCCTTTAATAGTTCAACAAATTTACTGCTTGTAAAATATCTTTAACAGAAATAATCGTTGCATTTGAATAATGTTAGTAATAAAAGCCACAAAATATGTTACAGGCACGTAATACTACGTTAACGTCAAGCTTAGACTAGTGAATGAATAGAAAATCGAGTGTAATTTTTGTGGTGCTAACTGATTGAGTCAGTAATAACATTTTTGAAATTCAACACAGTTATCCAAGAAACACTAATCTACTATATTTCTGTGTGTTTATAAGTCTATCTCTTGTCAGCTTGTCGTTTTTTCTTTGTTGGCTGGAAAAATGGTAGTTTGAAATTATTAAGCCATATGGATCGGAATCCAATGGTCTATATTTCCAACTCCTATCACTTCACAACATAGCGCGACCATCACCCAATGTCATCATTGAGTATTTGTTCTCACGGCCACCAGGTTTTCCCCATCAGTCATGACTTCTCAGGAATCATTTCTCGAATCTAGTTACCAATGAACATTAGATTAATTCAGTTTGGTGGTGTATGGGGACTTAGTAATTTTTCAAGTTAGTATTCATCATGGATGGTGGTCGCGCTATGTTGTGAACTGACAGAAGTTGTAAGTATGGACTATTAGATCTTGACCCAGTGGGTCAATGGTAACGTGCTGGCCACGGAACTTGAAGATCCTGGGTTTGATCCTTGGCGTGGGGATCATGCGCAAGTACTGCTGAGGAGTCGAATACTAGGATGAACCAGCTGCCCAGTGCTCCCAGTTTACCATTGTTTCCCCAACTGATGTCAGTCTTTGATGAATACCAACTTGAAAAATCACTAAATCTTCACAAACCCTCAAATTCAGTTCGAAACTTTTTTAAAAGTGTGTGGAAGTACATGACACGTTTAAGAGACATATTAAAAAATTAAAACAAATTAAAAAAAGGAATTTGTTGTAATATATATATATATATATATATATATATATATATATATATATATATATATATTGATATAGATATATATGGTGGAAGATTTTCGGTAGCCCAAGGTTTAAGCAGGCCCCTTATATATGCAACTTGTTTATTTTTGCATAACTTTTCTAAAGAAACTGATTTTACTGTCTGTTTAAAATGTGTTTTAATTTTTCCTACGTAAGGAGTTAGGAGTTAGTAAGAGGAAACGCTCGGTGGTAAGATGGATTACATTGTAATAGGAATCATTGTAATTTAGATCTGGTGAAAAGCATCTCTTAACTTCACTCTACACAATAACACAACGTTCAAGTCTCCTGGTTTCTATAGTTGACTAGTGGTTCTCAAACGAATATTTCAACCTGAAACCTTTAGCCTTACTTGAACACACTTCACCTGTCAATGTCAAACTATTTGCTTACATAATGCCTTTGATGCCAGTCCAATCATTGCCACTCAGTTAATGTTATCATAACCATTTATGAATTATTATTCCCTTAGTCTTATTTACGCGTTGTACTTTGGTCTCTTGTTGATTGGTTATTTTTCTCTACCCACGATTAGTTTACACATATGTATAGGTTTTAATAATTTCAATAAACTTGTCTCTTATTATCATTGTTATGTATTTTTGAGATGAATGGAGATTTTAGTTTAGAGGTAGGATTCATCATGGATTGACATCAGTTGGGGAACCGTAACCGTATCGTGGGTGCGTACTGCTGAGGATTCCCATACTAGGACGATGAAACTTATTCCCAGTGCAGTTAAAAATTCCTTTCAAGATTCATTAAGAATTTTTATCTACAAAATGATAACCAAGAGGATAGATAAGTGGCATATACAGATTTCCTATGAAATATAAAAAAGTAAAGTAAACTTTCAGTACTTTGTTATACACTGAACACTGGACAATAAAAAGTGATATCAATAATACATTATTATTATTATTATTATTATTATTATTATTATTATTATTATTATTATAACCATGGCAGTGTGAATAAATCACAACACTAAAAAATATGTCGAAGAAAACGATGAATATGAGTGCATAAATGAACACCTGGAACTATGGCTCATTGGTTTGAGATGACTTTCAACCAATGGGTGATGGGTTGTAGCCCTGTTCCACACACCGAGATAGTTTCAGCAGCAAGGTAGTAGTAACACCACTAGTCCTCATTCAATACGTGTGGCTCGTTGCCTGCCTACTGCATGAATGTGTAAAAGGTTGCTGTTGAGTACATTTGAAACGTTCATAAATGAAAACTAAACAATTGTGATATACTTTTAGAATAGTGAGATAAAAATTCCCCATATAACACTGAATCAAGTACAATTATTATTCATCGCATTCGGTTATATACCCAAAAGCATCGAAACAATAACATTTCATGATTAAACAATGAATACTTCGCTTAAACAACAGATTTTTTGAAGAGAAACACAAAGCTGACTAACAGAAAATTATTGTTAAAAAGTGTATAAGACGAGGTTCTAATGAGAAGCCATGACCTGTGGGGTCAACCAGTTGGAAGGTAAGTAGATGCCAACTGAAGACCTTGGGTGGTGGCTGCGCTGTATTGTGAATTGAAGGAAGTTGGAAACTGTGAACCGACCCAGTGGGTGGGTGGTTAACGCGTTCACTGTAAAACCTGAAGGTTCTGAATCGATCCATAGCCGGGTCATGGGTACGTACTGTCGAGGAGTCTCATACTAGGACGAAACAGCTATCATTGTTATATATTATTACACCAAGTTATTGTTGTGTTTGTACATCTTTTAGAATAATCCGCCTAGTTTAACTGTTTTATTATCTCTTCTTCTCTGTCGATTGTAATTGCGAGTAGGATAATATTTAATTGATACAAAACCTAACAGTTGAAAGGTTTTTTTGTTGATATTTTAGTTTAAAACAAGCTACGAATGTGAAAAAAAGCAGGATTCAATGAATTCATAAATTTCAATAGTAGTCGTCAGCTGGATTCTCTACATACGCTATTATATATGCCGTTGAACAATCTAAAAGAACATACATACATGCGTATACAACGTAGACTGAGACAGATTTAGGTGTGAACAGTTTTTACGAAGGAAATGGTAATGCAAAGGGTGGAAATAGATATTTAAAATTGAATGGGTTGAAGATAGGTTGATTGAATTTGGATAATATTGGATTTCAGGAAGGAAAATAATAATAGTAATAATGTTAATGCAGGGGTGAGAACTGAATCGATTGAGCGTCGATGATCTCATTCATAACAAGATAGTTAATAATACTTATACAAGCATAATACGATGATTAATAATGATAACAATGGTAATAAGGAATAAGGTTAATTAGGCGAAACAAATCAAGGAAAGAAAATAGAATATAAGATGGGTGATAATTAAGAGGGAAGAGCAAGTAAGAAAGATTGAATTGAATATGACTAGACGATGTTGTGATTCCTACCACAGCAGATTCAAGCGGACTACCATTTCCATCTGAATGCAGAGGTTTGGTTGGCGACTCGAATCGCGCAGGCTTCTGCATATCCAAACAACTCATTTTGTTGTCTACTGATAACCGTAAAGGACTTACATAACCCATTAGGTGTTTCGTTATCAAGCTCCTTGAGGTCTTCTTCTCGGCATGCTTCAACCATTTGAGTAGACAGACACCTCTCCGTACGACCAATGTATTTGCTTCCGCAGGTACATTCCAATTGATATATGCACTTAGATGTGTCAAAGATCGGAGCCCCATCTTTCCTTGGTTGTTGCAGTACCCTTTTGGTGGTGCTGAGGAGTTATACTTACTGTCTAGAGAGTAAACCTCCATATTTGATATATTAGATGTCTGAATTTTGTTCACCTCAACTCATCTCTGTCTAGATTGCATCTTCTGTGCAATTAAAAATGTCACTCACTATTAGGTGATGTAAATAATTATCGTTTTTATGTGTTAATTTGATCTCTTTCTTCTCTAATTTCATAAATATTAAACCGTCTTTTTTATTTTTGAAAAATAAAACATTTTTAAAGGATGCAGCTTTTGCTCTACCTGTATCAACTTTAGAAAATCCCAAGTATACTGATCCACCAGTGAAGACTCAATTCGGTTATCATATTATAATGGTTGAGGGGAAACGATAAAAAAGAAGGATACAAAGAGAAAAAATTATATATCCCGCTTATTCTCGTTTTACTACCTTGTGTATTTATTTTCTTGTATGAAATAAACTTTTTTCTGGTGAATATTACATTATTATTTTCCCTTGGGTTTCTAGTGAAACATAGGTCTTCAGTAGCACTTCTCCATTTCACTCTCTGCTCTTCAGTCTTTTGAAGCCGGCACCACGATTGCCCAAATGCTTTCGTTTCTTTCTCACACGATCTCCTACATGTCACCTTCGGACGCCCAACTCGTCGTTTCCCCTTTGGGTTCCACTCGACGGCCTGGCCTGACGCGTCATGTCTTCGAACGGTTTTCTCAGTGTATGCCCAATCCATCTCCTATTTCGTCTTCTGCATATTTATTGGGTGATAGGTTCCTGGTTGATTCATTACCAGGTCAGAGTTCCTTGTTGCTTATTCTTATTTTTCTGGTCATCTGGCTTTTAGTATCAAGTTAGCGTAGGCGGCATCTGTTGATGTATGTGTGCAGTTTACTCGAAATGCCTTTCATAACGCGCCGTCTCTCAACCATCACATAAAAGCACTGACTTGACTGAATTAGTGTTGAAAATGCAGATCTTGTTCAGGCTTTATGCAGAGTGCAGTAGATCTCCAGACTGATTTCAGGTTGGTGAAGGCCTGTTTTGCTTTTCCGATCGTGGCTTTGATCCATCAGGTCCTGCTGCTTTCCCGTTTTTCAGTAACTTTATCGCGTCCAAGACTTCACTTCTGCTTTTGTCGGAGGCTTTGTGTTCACTGATAGATGCGTGGGTGCTGGCGCTATTTCTGGACTAGTTTGTTTACTCAGCCGATTTCCAGTCTTTTTATTTCTCTTTGCGAATCATTCGGGTTGAACCATCTCAACCCTTGACTATCAATCCTGAAGTATAATCGTTCGTTCTCACAACTCGGCATGATAACAAATATATTATCGTTGAAGTCCTTCTGCTTGCCACTCCAAATAAATTTAACCAAAATTTGTTTTGAGGACCGTGAATAGGATCAATTAACGGAGTGAAAACATTCTGGTTTTAGAGCAAATCCACAAAGACTGTCTCTGTCAAACTTTAGAGATTACAGACGTGAAGACTGGTGGGTGATCTGGTTAATACTACGAAGAAATGGGAATAAAAAGCCGAAAAGTGAGCTCATTTATTAGTTGATTTCCATCACTCATAATATTTGTATTTACAACAAAGTAGGACAGCGATTATGGTAATAAGAATTCTTGGTAGACCCCTTAGTTTGTTGTTGCACTAAATGATTCTTCTTGTAAGTCTCAGAAGAGAGTAGTCATAGGTGACATTTATCCCGTAATAGCTTCGAAGTCGGATGCGGCTGCTAAATTTTCCAACAAATAGCATCTTATATCCCATGTAGGTCAAGAACCATGACTATTTTGGGAAGTAGGTGTAAGTATGGATGATTTCCAGCCTTGATAATAGTTCACCATCGTCTACATCTTAAATCTACGTGTTTTTCCTGAGTTTAATCTTAAGAACCAATGCCATTAAAATCGGTCTGAAGGGATCATCTTTGTATCAAGTGCTCCATCTAGTATTCCATACAATACAACTAGCTACTCTTATATACTGCTGCTTAACACCCCTTCATCACAACAACAGCCCTCTTAACTTCTGTAAGAGTTACAGGATTGGTGCCAACCTTCGTTCAGACTGCGGTTAAATAATGTACAACCAAAGTCGGTTAGACTACTCTTCAAGGTGTTTCGTCCATTACTGCGGTCTTCAGTTCCTAGGTGATATTCTCACTAAAGGTCGGCTTTTCTGGCTTATCTTTGTAATGAGCATAAATGACTCAAGAATTCTACCTGTTATCGCCATCTGACTAGCTTTCACAGACTTTTTTTCCTATGCACTCAAAAACCTCGTGCAGTAGGTAATGAGCAACATTCATGGCATGAGGCCTAATGATACTACTTAGTTGCCCGAGTGGAATGAAGCCCAAACCAATGACCCATTGGTTAAACGTCCCCTCCTTAAAACAATGAGCCGAAGCCCCACTTCCACTTAAAACTAACCCGAAGACTTTTACTCATCTAACTTCACTTGTCAATTAGTTTGGATGGGACTCGGCTTTTACTAAGGCTTTAGGTTGTGTTACGTTGCTATTTTCGAAATGCTTTCTAGTTGTCAGAGCTGATTTTCCTATCTTTTTTCCTAGAATTTGAAAGCAGCATCGCTAAGAAGTCACTCGAGAGAAAACGTGATTAGTGTTGCGTCCTGATTTAGCGGAATAATAATTCACCTCGAGATCTCTACCATGAAGGTAGCTACTTAGAGATTTGTCATACCTTCACAGCGTAATAGGATCCCAAGCCAAAAACCACGCAGCCAGCATAGATCAAATGGTTCCTTTCAATACGGAATGTTGACTATTTTGTAAAAGTAGTAGGTGTCGGTTAGGTCCTATAACCATATCCCGGATCACAACAGACTTAAGGCAAGAATAATGTGATTTTTGTTTATTTTTCAACGTGGAATGGGATATTATAGAGTTTGGGATTAAATTTCAGTGGAAGTTAGATAACCCAACGGAAATTATAGTACAGAATGAAGTGAAATTAGATCTTTCTAATTTGAAGTTGACTAAGATGGATTTGTACTGGGTGATGATTGAAGGTGAGATGGGAATGTGGGCCGCGGCCGGATTCTCATCTCACCTTCAATCATCACCCAGTACAAATATTAGTCTGCCAAACTGCGGCTATCTTAGATGGTCAAGTCATAAGATGGATTTATGTACCGTTGAATTGGTACAGGCAATTATTACATTCAGGTGGTTATCTCGAATTATGGGGAACTAAATTCCTTTTTTTTTATTTAATGCACTCATCTTGATGAATAGCTAGATGTTTCCCATGACTTCAAAATTTTCTTCTAGGTATTAAAAGAAAACATTTTGTAATTTTCAAGCTTCCAACTTCTATTGATTTATGCGTTTCACTGACATTCAGATTCCATCAGAGACTTTGATTAGTACACAGGACTTAACGTCTACATTGATCCTTATATAGGTTACAGCTGTAGTATGACGTAGCAATTTGTTAGTTCAAAAATTTGGATCTTTCAGACTGCTTTAGTTACTTAAAAGTTACAGTTAAGCTTTGCGATAAACAAATAGCAGAAGCAGGATCAAATTTCCTTTCATCCAGAGGTTGTTGCTAGAAAGCACTTAACTGCCTACATTATGGATTCAGTGTGTGAAGAAGAAACGCAACAATTTTCTCGTCAAATCTGTTAGAAACCCATACAACTAACTCAAAACATTTAAAGCAACAATAGATTAAAATACTCTTTCATACTTAAGGGTTTCTTAGGAAATTAAATACTCCCTGGCAACTTAGCTTTACCAATATACAGTAGATTAACTGCTGAAATAACTGTTAAAGTGGATACTGAATCACTATTTTTAGGCTGTAATTTTCCCAACAATACAAAAAAAATTCTAGTTTGGTATTCATTATGGACTGACATCAGTTGGAACATCGGAAACCTAGTAGCACTGCACAGCTATCTTGTCCTGGTATGGAACTCCTCAGCAATCCGCACACATGACCCCGCCCCCCAGGGATCGGACCCATGACATTCAAGTTCCGTGACCAGCACGTTACCACTTGGCTACTGGGTCGGAATCCAATGGTCTATATTTCCAACTCCTATCACTTCACAACATAGCGCGACCATCACCCAATGTCATCATTGAGTATTTGTTCTCACGGCCACCAGGTTTTCCCCATCAGTCATGACTTCTCAGGAATCATTTCTCGAATCTAGTTACCAATGAACATTAGATTAATTCAGTTTGGTGGTGTGTGGGGACTTAGTGATTTTTCAAGTTAGTATTCATCATGGATGGTGGTCGCGCTATGTTGTGAACTGACAGAAGTTGTAAGTATGGACTATTAGATCTTGACCCAGTGGGTCAATGGTAACGTGCTGGCCACGGAACTTGAAGATCCTGGGTTTGATCCTTGGCGTGGGGATCATGCGCAAGTACTGCTGAGGAGTCGAATACTAGGATGAACCAGCTGCCCAGTGCTCCAGTTTACCATTGTTTCCCCAACTGATGTCAGTCTTTGATGAATACCAACTTGAAAAATCACTAAATCCCCACGAACTTTTGAACTAAAAAAAACATTCGAGCATCACTTATAAGATGAAAACTGATATCTCATTTGAGTTGTTGTTTAGTGATTTAGGAAGATGACTACCAACCGAGGTCCCGGCAGCCAATAGCCCTCACACAATATGTATGGCTCATTCCCTACTGCACAGATGCGCACAAGGTAGCTAAGTGCATTTCGTATAATACGGATTAAACATCCCAAATATAAAGTGAGGTCTTAAAAAGAGCTGCATGATTTCTGTATTACAGGACGTGAAATTTTTGACTCTATATCGCTGTAGAAATTAATATTGGTACAAGAGATACTTTTGAAAGAATTTATTACTGAATTTTATTCAAGATTTCCATCGAAATCTTATCTCTCATGCACACACAATGAAAATAAAACTTCAAACAAATCCACTGGTTAAATATGGATAATGGCTAACAGAGGAATCCAAGATGCGCATTTTCTCCTATTTGAGACTCCTTGGCTGGTGGGAACAACATCACTCACTGGGAGGCAGGTACATCCAGGTGACGAGTCCAAAATAGGATGAAACGCGCATCCTACTACACAGGTATATCGAGGCATCCGCACAGGAGCCCATATGCCAATAGAGACCGATCAATTAGATCCAATCAACGACGGTATAATACAAGTAATAACACTAAATCCACTGATGTTTACAATTTCCTCCGGTTAAGGATAAAACTTCCAGCTAGACCAAATATATATGTAACAGACTACAAGCCATGCTTACTGTATCAATGATACTATATGATCAGCCAAGTTGAAGTTAGTAAAGGTGTATTCCAATCTAAAACCAACCTACTGAAAGTGGAATGCACAACCCAATGATTCACAACTCATTATGAAAACCTTTTTAAACAATATCACACAACAAGGTGGAATTTATGTACATAAAGTATACGTATATATATATATATATATATATATATATATATATATATATATATATATATCTGCAAAAAGTTATTCATACATTATAACTACTAAATATATACGAAAAAAATCCATTGATGATTAGAAGGAGACAAAGTAAAGAATTTCAACATCAACATTGAATTCTTATTGAAATGAAATATACACGATGAACTGGATAAAGTAGATTTTAAAAGGTATGCGCATAATAGTAATATATGAAACATTACATTGGTCAAAAAAAGAACAGAGGATAAGCAGAAAGATACATTACGAATGTATATAGAAATGAACCAATGATGCAACAGATCTTTATTCAGTCATGAGAAGAGATTCAGATATATATACAATCTGAATATCATCATATTAGTAATAATAATTAATAATAATAATAATAATAATAATAATAATAATAATAAAAGATGAGAAGAAAGAAAATTATAAACAAAACAGGCATACTCTATTCAAACACAACTTTCACTCACTCTTTTATCAATGATGTCTAGATGATGATGATGATGATAAAATGGCTAAAATGAAACATCCAACAAACTAGATAACAACAATGACAATACATGTAGAGTAGCATTAGACTATAAACACCTTTCATAATCTGTAAGTGAACGAATGAGTGTGGGTGTGGGTGTGTGTGACGCAGAGAAAGAGAGAAGAAAGCTAATTTCAATGACTGTCACTGTATATTGTCCAATGAATAATGAAGGCGAAACTTGATCATTTCTCTAAAAAATAATGAAAAAGTAAACAGACTACTATCATTATTACTTCACAGTGATGCTAATTGTCAACTATTAATGGTATTAGGTATATATAACACCGAATAAAGGTATTTGAAAGTAGGTCACAGTTGGAATGGAAAAAAAAAACTGACTCTTTTAGTCTTCACAAGACATACACTAGCTGCTAACTATGAAATATACACTGTAAGAATTTATAAAAACAATAATTGAAAGAAAATGAAAACAATTCATAGGATCACTAAACGTGGTTGATCTTGATCAAGACACTTAGATTTCAGCGTAGAATAATCTATTGTATTAGAATGCACAGGTAATTTTGTCATGTCTATAAAAGATTGTGTAGAAGTTGTTAACGGTTCAGAATGAATAAAATGAGATGTTGTCTGGTCATTACAATTATGATTATGAATATCTTTCTCTTTAACCCGACAGTCTAATGATAAGGCAATCTGTTCACCATGTTCACCCCAGTTAACAGATAAATCAGCGCTTGTTTCAAGAATAGATCGATCATAATTTGTTAAAGAAGTACTAGTTGTTGGCCATATTGATTGAATAGGTAAAAAATTTGATTGACAAACTAATTGGTTGACTAGTTTATTTTCATATGGAAGTTTGTTGTACACTGAAGATGAATGATTAATTCCAGGTAACAGATGTACATTAGAATCTTTTGTCACTTCATAGAGTTTATTTTCTGAAACTGAATATGTACTGAATTGAAGCTGTAAATTTGAAGAAGAAGTTATACAATCTACTGGAACAGAAATATTTGTTTGAGAAATGTTAACAGAAGAATTGATCATAGGCAATTTATTAGATGGTTCATTACTTGAATTCATCGTAGTGATCAATTTCTCAGATGATTTTTCAACAAATTTTAAACTTTCTTTAACAGGAGATTTACGTTGATCACTACTTTCTTTTACAGGAGTTGATGTTCTACCTTTATCATTATCATAAGTTATAGGTTCACACTGTTCAACCATATATGAATTATGTAGATTTTCACAATCAATTTCACACGAATCAGATTGTAATATTGTCATGTTATTGACATTCTCAGTGGTAGAAGTTGTAGGGGTAGAAAACACTTTAAAGGGTACATTATCACGTAAAGGAGTCACCGGTTCGATAGTATTAAGAATTCCAGGACTAGCATCTTGCTTTGAAGGTGTAGTTGTACCTGAACAGCAATCTTCATTTAATGATGTTACATTGTTTTGCTCTGTTGACTGTTTTTGTGGTGTTGTAAAGGACTGTCCATTAGATTTTTGTCGATTAGCCGAATGAGACAATAAATACTGATTTGCAAACACAGGATATCGAGTTACACGTTTCAGTTTATAATCATACAAACCACGACAGAAGAAAACACTTTGACTATTAGTGCTATTAAAGCATTCGTCACATTCAGAGAGTGGATACTGAAACACAAAATAGTACAACACAAAAAGTAAAATTTAGCGTGTTAGTCTGTTTAGAAATAACGTTTTTAAGAGAAAAGGGTATAATGTTAAACATACATGATCATTATTTGTTGAAATACTCCGCCTATGCCAAATGACTTAGTGAAGGTAAGTAAATCAGTGATAAATAATGGCTAGCAGTAGAATTCACAACGTATGTTCTGTCGTGTTTGGTATCTATCCAGCTGGATAACTACCTGGCAGTGAGTGGTGTGATTTCCACTGTGATTTGAACCCAGCACCCATCGCTTAGAACGACAAAACATTAGTCACTAGCCTAGTTGGTCATGATACCTCTTCTTTAAGTAACCTGGATTCCACCGCTAGCCGCAATTCGCTGTTATCTTGAACTGAAGTTACTGAAAATATCAAAGCATCCAAACAACAACAGAGAGCTTTAGGCGATGATACTGAGATACATAAATGCCGAAGGCTGCTCTTATTATGTATGAACATTACGTTTCTTAGCAAAGAACCTCATGTGACCAAATTGTAGTCATAGAATTTCAGCAAGATACAGTTTTCACAAGGAGAAGAAATAACTACAACGTTTGTACTTCTGTATGCACGGAAAAGTTAAAATAGGATCTTATGTGGTAGCTCTACAGTCCGGTACTCAGCTCGATAAGACTATATTTTTTTTATCGCCTTTTCGCCGTACTTCAAGAAATATTCGCACATGACATGCACAAGTGTCGGCTACTCTCATATCCATGTCGTTACTCAGATACTTCAGAAACACCACCAATCTTCTGTCTCAGAACCTTCCAAATTTCCTTGACCTTTTTTCCAGTAACCTTACATCCCGTTTAACTTCTTTCAGCCCTGCAGTTAATAACGATTCGCGCTAACCGAATAGCATCTATTTTTTGGAACGGTGCCGTGCGATACTAGCTAGTGTGTGGATATCAGAGGCAACGCCTTCAGGCTAGTCTATATCTTTGATTATTTCAGTTTGTAAGGAAGGAGAGAAGTTTTTCTGTTGTAATCAAAGGAGAGTGAGACTGACTGACGTAATGTCTAAAATACAAGGATTCAAAGTCATTCAACGGCAAACAACAATTTTGAGAAGGTGGGTGGATACGGGGCTTAGATGAGGGTGCTGTGATCATATCTTTATTCTCTAACAGGTTCTGGAAAGCCCGTATACTTACCATTGCCTAACATTTGGCAAAATTCATGACATGAAGGTGATGTTCGACTATGTCGATCAGATGTTATGACAGTGTTTAACTGTGGAGCGAGTTCCAAAAAAGTATGTACTACTAATCAATACTCCCTACTCGAAATCATGCAGCCATTTAACAACATAAGGAGAAATGTCGTCCGAAAGGATGAAAACCAGATGTCTAACAAAATGTCCGTTGTCGCCATTCTTATTCAACCTTTTCATAGACGTGGTAATGCATATGACATTAAGTACCTTCAACTGTCCAGGGATTGACTTACTCCTTGTAAGGAGCTTGGTTGACTTCGAGTGAGCAGATGAAATAGTCCTGTCAGGGAAGGACGCTGAGAAAGTGCAGTCTACAAAACCATGAACAAAAATTCGAGTACGTTTGACATGGGTTTGCACTTGACGTGACGGCGGGATTTGACTCAGTCCATCATGAGGTGTTGTGGAAGTGTCTGAATGTTAACGGTATATCGAGCAAGTATATAACGTCAACAAAGCTCTTTACTCGAAATCACGAAGTCATGTAGAGAGTTGAATCGACAAACGATTAGTAGTGTCCGCCAGGGATCTCCACCGTCGCCATTCCTATTCAACTCCGTCATACACGTACTAATGAACATGACCTTAGGTACATCTGACTTCACAAGGATTGACCTACTCACAGGAGATCATCTCATTGACTTTCAGTATGCAGACGATATCAAACTGTTAGGTGAAGATGCTGATAAAATGCAATGTCTTCTCCAAACCTTGAAAAGAAATATGAGCATGATAGGCTGGTATGCGTTTCGCACTTGTCAAATGTAAATTGATGCTCCGCTTCACTTAAATGGAGAATAGAGTCAGCGCGAAACCACTGGTTGGTGACGAAATATCACCTCGGATACAGAAGGGCTGTTTGGCATTTGCCAACTCCTGTCACCTGTCGCACTGACTGGCAAGGTATCCGACCATCTATGAGATTATGAATATACTGCGATACAGGTCGTTCACTCTTGTTATACGGCTGTGAGACATGGTCGTTAAAAGTAGAAAATATGAAGTGATTACACGGTTCTGATCACAGATGTCTTCGTAGTATTGCTCGTGTTTGGTAGAATCATCATGTGAGCAATATTAAGGACAGGCGAAGAGTACTAAGCAAAGACAAGCAAATCAACTGAGGTGGTTGGGACATGCACTGCGCACACCAGGTCATCACCTACGACGCACAGTGCGTTGGGAAAGGGTTCATGCTGGCCAGACCCAGACCTAACATCAATCGATGAAGTCCGTGAATATTGGTCTCAGTCGTGTAGAGAGATGTAGACTGTATGGGTGGAGTTCGTGAGATGATAGGAATCAGTAGTTGAGAACTTTTGGTGACATGGCTGAAAATCGGCCACAATGGACATCTGAAGCTTGAATATTCACACTAACCCTTATCTTCAGATTGTTTATTATCTCACATAACTTTGTCTACTTTGATATCACTCTTTTTCCATCCCCCTGTTCTTTTTGTATTACTGTGAAATGTAGCGACTTGAATCGATGCACTTCTGTGGGAGGTTCTGCGTTGTACTGCAACATCATGAGAGTTTTGAATTCGTCTTCATAGTGTTGCCATTATTACTACTTTTAAAACCTGTGCTATCACTACTACTTCGCAATCTAAGCACGTAAGTTATACTAGAAAAAAACACTACACTATTTGATTCATTTAAATATTTTGTAGGGGAAGTTTAGCAGTACCTTCAGTTGTAACTGTATTTGCCTATAGGCAATGAAAAACGCATGCTCCCATTGCATACACTTCACTTTATTCATTTTAATAGTATGTTGATCGTCATAATACATACTACTGACAGTCTACTGCATAAGCATGCATGCGATTCAACCCTAATATCATATTATTCATTGAAAGACTTTGAATAAAATTTATCAACGAACAAAATCAAAATTCTATGCTGGATCAAGCTTGGTAAGGTTGAGTTACGATGTATAAGCAATGAATATGGAATCCAGGAAAGTTTCAAATGCTGTCAACTTACTTTATCCATGTACAAATTGTCCTCTGGACTTTTGTTACCGTGCAAACTACAACTGCCAAACTGAGGTACAATAGAGCTAAGCGGCATCTTCCGATAACCCATCTAAAATGTCACAGTAAACATCAGTTATTGAAAATATAGTTTGGCTCAATATATATATATATATATATATATATATATATATATATATATATAAACAATGGTATCTATTGCGTTCGAAGACTCCATAGAACATGACTGCTGCTAACATATCGTAACCATCGATGTAATGTCAGCTGAAATCAGAAGACGGTAAAACAGATGAAATTATGATTTCAAGGTAATAACCTTCAACGGTGAATCTAAACTTTATCAAATACTGAAAGTTGTGCTGCATAGTAGTTTACATACTCCCACTGATTACACAAAAGTTGGGTATTTAATCTAGGAAATTATATTTTCACTAGGTTCTGTACTAAGTATAGCAGTTAAAATCTGTAATACAATGCGAATGAAGCATGAGATAATATGGGTGAGACTAAAAGTTATCCTCAGGTGTAATAGTATTCTGTCTGAAAAAATATTTTTTGTGTTCTGTATGCATATATTCTGAAGTGAAAACTGTAATTATAAATCCTTCTGGACGTAATATGAAGCCTCAACCAACCCATTGTGATCTGTGAGCATCATTCATTCTGAAAAACTGTACTTATTTTTCGCCTAAAAAGTCGATGTGTAGCCAACACTTTGCACATGAATAAGGGATTTGAAACATGATTTGATGATATTGGGCATTTTAAAAACTATGTAAATCGGTAAAATATTCATACAGAGCACAGAAAATCTTCGTACTTTTAAAAACAATTTTACAACCTATGACGAGCAAAATAACACCTAGGGAGAACTTTTAGCCTCACCCGATAATATCTACGCCCAGTAAAAAATAATTTTTATTTTTACTACTATTTCATATCAGAATCTAAATGCATTCAAACTTACGCTTAATCGTGTTTTAAATATATTAAAAAAATAGATAACAATTCGGACGTAATCCCACTTAAATGTTTATTATGGGTGGAAAAAAACTAAATCTCAATCAAATTTCAACCGCCAGTTTTTGTCAGTGTCTCATCGCCTAGTACACAAAAACATACGAAGTACTGATGACGTAACCCATTAATGAGATACAGGTTTATGTAGCAGACTATGAGGCATATTTAAGATAACAGAGCTCACGATGTTACCTAGTTACGTAAGAATAAGCAGGTGGAATAGGGGCCATTTGTTCGATTATCAGTTTATCAAGCAGACTGAACAGTAAGCTAGATTTCAGTCACGCTTAAATTGTCGCGAACTGTCCTCTGTTCTTTAATAAACAAGAAATGTAGATGCATCCACCGGTATGATTAGTTAGTAAATGTTGACGTCGGATCTGGCAAAAACGTGTAACGGTTCAAGTTACCACACAACATATCAGCATACCAAGATACAATGCACCGAAATGAAAGATAGAAGAATAGAAAAAATGTAATTAACGATGTAAGAAGTCATAGGAAGAGATCAAAAGCGGATAAAACAATAACAGAATGTGATACAATGATTACAATGAAGGGAATTAGGTGATTGCATCTCTACCACTGATATAAATGTTAAGCTACATCACATAGAGTCTCCAACCATCGACTTCAGTTGTCACGCAGAAGCTTACATTCCCATAAATGGCTCATACAAACTGTTACAACACTGCTGACTTCAATTAGACAGTGATAAATCGATGAGTACGACCCCTTATTTTTGTAGCTTTGAATCACTTATAAATTCAAAGGTTTTAAAATAAAGTGAACTAGACCAAATGAAAATGCAGCAAACAGATACAGATTTTTACTTCAATAGGCAAGTAAAATATCTATTTATTGGTTTTAGGTTGGAATTCATCATGGACTGATATCAGTTGGAGGAACATTGGAAACGTCGGAGCACTGGACAGCTGTTTCGTTCTAGTATAGGAGTCCTCAGTAGTGCTTACCCATGACCCCGTTCCACCAAGGATAGAAACCCATGAACTTCATATCCCGTGGTCAGTCACTGGTCCACATTTCCTACTTCTGTCAATTCACGATGTGGTGCGACCTACATCCAATGTTATCGTTGAGTAACTGTCTTTCTATTCAACTTGGTCGGCTCCACTGGTCATGACTTCTCATTGGAAATTTGGGAGTCACTTCTCAAAGCTAGTCACCAATGGGCGCTAGATTAATTCTATCTGGAGGTTTGTGGAGGTTTATTAATTGATTTTAGGTCGGAATATACCGATCCTCGGCGGGGTCATAGGTGCACACTGCTGGAGAGTCCCATCCGTCTATCCATCATTTAAGTCTACATACGACTAGGCATTACTGCCTAACGGTTTGAGTTGCCACAGCGTATTTCACCACATTAAGTAAAAAGGCAGTAAAGTGGAAGATGAAGATAAGAAAATTCAGTCAGAAGAAATATAAAGTACTAAAAGAGAGGAAGGAGGAATGAGAAAATAGTGAGATTCGGTATAGCGTCGTTAAGATGAAGATAATGCATGTACACATCTGCGCCACCGACATCGGTCCTGGGCTATATCGCCTAGCGTCTTCAACCACTGGTTTCTCTTGTCCTGCGGACCCCAACCAACTAGTTTGCATCGCCCCACGTGGCTCAAACCAATAGCGAAACACTTCATACATTGGCGCCATGTTTTAGTCTGGCCACCTCGGGCCTTTTTCCAGCCTGAACCTACTTCGGCTAACATTGTGTGATGAGGCAATCAGTGACTAGGCATATGTAGTACGTGTCCCAACCATCTCAGTCGATGAAGGTTCACAACGGTGTCAACTGGTTTACCTCTTCTCCCTAAACCTCTACGCCTGACATCTGCGTTACTTACGTCGTGAGGAGTCCCATACTGAAACGAAATAGTTGTCTAGTAGTTCCAGGTTTCTAATGTTCCTCAAATTCATATCATTCCATGATGAATTCAAACCTAATATCAACTCACAAACCTCCAGATAGATTAAAATATCTATTACCCTGATGATCGAACCGAATTAATCAGAAATAACAAAATAGAATTCATTAAAACTCATGACTTACTAATTTTGAGTTGAGTGGCTAGAAAAAAATGGACTCAATTATCTACATATTGTCAAAAGTATATAACCTATAAATTATAATAAAGAAAATTACCTGTTGACGTTTAAGTTTTGCCATATAACGAGAATATGCATTCACTGAAAGTACAAAGGCTTTATCTTCTATACAATCAAGTGGGTTAGTATCACGATGTCTGCTTGCATAAAGTTCATTTTTTACAAAATTTTGTGCTGTACTATTTGTATGTTCAGGACGATAATACCAAAGAAGGGACATCATTTTTGTATCTATAATAAAAAGAAAATGTTCTACATATGATACATCAAATAAAACAGGTAGTAATCAAAATAAAGAAATATTAACAATACTGAGATTTAAACGATTAAACATTGAAAAGAATACAAACTGTGAAATTATATTAGTACACAAGTTTCTGAATTTATACAACAGGCTTACCGATGGTAAATAGGTGTTACCATAGTTATTCAGTAAGTTGAAAATTTAACACCTTAAAAATGGAAGTTTTAGGAAGTCTATTATAAAAATATAATTAATTTTCATTTCTGAAGGTAACAACGGTTAGATATTCCAGTTTGTTAGAATGTCTTTAATTTTGGAAGATACAGTTATCAGAAGTGTATTCAGTAGAAATGAATATGAGTGTGATTGAAAAACATTAGAAAAATAGTGTATGTAATGAAATCATTGAATAAATAATCTTGAAGACAGAAGTCAAATCGAATCGATATATTCTCAACATTTCTGTGTATATTTTCATGCAGTAGACAATAAGCCACATCCATTTTATTATAGTTCATGATATTAACTGGTTACCCAAACCTCAGTTGATGAAGCAATATTTGAAATCATGACCCAGTAGTTGAAAGTCAACTCTCTAGACCAATCAGCTCCATTGTAAGAAGTAATTTGTAACCTGCTTTCGAACAAACAAACTACAACAGCAATAAGATTGCTTATCCAATAGTTTTATGTTAAGACGTGATCTAACAAAGAAAGACTTCAATGAAGCAATTTGTTTTTCATGATATCATGGCTTAGTAGGTATACAACTGCATTTCATTAAAAATTGTGTACATTGATTAAAAGACTGTCGATATTTGTTAGTCAATAACTCTCACTAGATTGAAGCTAGGGAAATAATGAATCCACTTGACAAAGTGAGTTAGTGTGAATTGAAATGAATAATTGAAGAATTCATAACAAAGTGACAAGATAGTTGATAGTGAGAAAAGGAAGGGAATGAGAATTTTGTAAGTGAGCGGAAAATGTTTACGTGATAATAACAACAATTTTAAAAAGGTTAGTTGGACTTATGAATTGGAAAGTTTAGAAAGTAAGAAGTATTAAAGGACAACGAATGACAAAGTTTTTTCTGGATGCATAATTCCCGTTTCAATTTTTTGTATTCCAAGAGTCTCAGTAATATGAAGTACACGTTTTCTCATATCTTTCCGAAGATTATATTGTATTTTATGGACCACTGAAAAGAAAACCTCCAGAACTTTGTTCGATGTTAACTCAGTGTAGTAATTATGGAGCTATTGTTTTATCTGCCTTGACGTTTACTGAGTCAGGATGGAAGGTATCGCTGTGGATGCCGGACAATATCTCTAAGTATGGCCTATATATCTATCGAGACAGGAGCAAATGAATTGATTAATGCACATGGAAGTGGCTTACAGAGGCAGTTTGTCCTTAATACAAGTGCTCATAATTGGGAGAGTAGTATAGGTGACTTTCAAAGTGACTGCATAGAATGTTCTTTGAACAACTTTCATCAGCCTGAGTTTTAGTATCTCATCTCATACATCTCTATAGATTTCTAAATTTGAAAGCGGATTGTTTTTCTCTACACTGATAAGACACTGATGGGTAGCATTCTATTGCAAATTTTTATCTATGAATCTCTCTCGGTCTCCATTTTTGATAAATGTTAATTCCAGGAGTTGAATTTCGTCTTCTAAAGTCTCGAGAGTACAAACCTTCCAAATTCCAACGGAAATGGAATGGAAAAAATTTCTTTTTCGGCTAATGGAAATCTAGCTGATATTTTTCCAGTTTGGACATAAAGATATCTGTTAACGGTGAATCTAATAGGGAATAAATTACTATTTTGTCTCTTTGGCGGCAGTAGGTGTTATTGAAGCTGAACTACACACCAAGCAGTAGTTCTTGCGAGAATTTTGGCTGTGTACCGATGTTAAGTGCACTCGAGTCAATGTAGTCATATATGAAACAGACTGTTTCATCAATTAGTGGAACATTCGTGAACACTGAAGTATCATCAAATGATCATATGAATTTATTTTAAATATTTACATTACTTACAGAATCGACAAACTCGAATATATCACGAAGACATTAGTTAAAAACTTGATTTCTGATGGATTATAGGAACTGAGATAATCATTTAGGAATCGAATGATAAAGTGAGCTAAACGTACAGACAACTAACATCCTATCCAAAAGGTCTTAATCTTCTGTGTAACTTTGGACTGATGATTGACTCGTTTTTTATTCCTGCTAGAATTTCAGTTAGTTGACGATCAATATTCTTTGTTTTATTCTCTTTTTTTGACTTAGAGAATCTACCTTCATCTGAAAGAAGTTTAGATATTTTCTCAATATGATATTTTCTGTTCATCAGGACCATATCGGCACGTTTATTGGCAGGCGTTATTACAATGTTATCATGTTTCATTTCCTTCATTTGGTTTATATGATCAGATGAAAATCAAAATTTTGGTTGACCGGTGACAACAACCAAGTAGTGTAGACTTGAGGTTTTCTAGATGTTCAACAGATAAACCAGTTGGATAATCGATCTCATAAGATCCTCAAACTGGAATGGAGTGTAGAGTTTGCTTCATTCCGATTTGTAGGCGTATGTAGTCCCAAATGATAGAATTCGGAGTTGGAATGACGAAAAGTTTACAGAATAGCAATCGAAGACGTATTTCTCTGGTCATACTGGGAAAGTATTTGTGAAGTCGGTTGACCAGAGACTTTTCGTAGGCTTGCTGTTAGGATTTCTACATCTTCAGTTAGTAGTTTTCGTCCCTCATCATCTTAGTCTCAACTTACCATGAATTACTGATTGGCAAATACTGACACTTTTACCAAGCAGTACGCAACCTATCCATATTTAAATGCCACCTTACACCTGCTGAAGATGATATCACCCATAAAGGTTTGCTCGCTGAATTCTTTTTTTTCCGCGACTCCTCGAGAACATCAGAGTCTCTTAAAGTTAATTTAGAGATACTTCAACCACAATATACCACTTTTTTAGTCAAGGGGTTATCTAATTTATAATGCGCTTCTTGAAGTCCAACATAAATTTTTCCAATTATAGGTGGTTCAAGAGGAAATGGCTACGTTATGACTAGAGTAATGCGTACCAAGGATGTTTAATCAGTAATGAGGAAGTACGGAGTACTGGCTAAATAACTCGACTGTTAAGCAGTGTCTCAGGTTGAAACCTCGCCTTATCAGGAGCCATCGTACGCTGAATGCGGTCTTTAACTTTTCACCAAAGTGATCGGTGGCATCATATTTTATGTGAATAAAAAACCCAGTTGTCAAGATATTAAAAATTTATCAAACCACACCGGAGAAATAAAACGGTTGTATAAATTTGGTTATTAAATTTCACTACCTTCTAACAGCAAATGCTGCTAATATACAACTTTAGGTAATATTTATTTCGGATAAGAAATAACAGAATTATAAACTCGGTAACAAGAGAAGTTTCAAACTAAGAAACAACAAGATTATTTGTATTACTTTTCATTTCCTACTCTTTAAGGTTAATTCCTGAGGCGTATAATTCTCTCATAGGTTACTCTAAACTTTAAACATGGTGTTTAAGACTTCATTTTAAGATTTCTTCCATATGACATATTATAGACACGTTGTACGTAGCATGCTGTCACTGAGACAACTCTAAACTTTATATTTCAAAGTGTTGGAGTTCAAATTATTGTGTTTGATTCATAAACGAAACACTTATGTGCCAGATATTTTCATGAAGAAGCAACTTTCTACACTCCTATTACTAAATTTTTAAATTAGCTTACTTTCAATTCAGCAATAATCCTCTGCATATATATTACCACAAGAACAAACCTTATGCAGTTAGTAATAGGTATAGAGACCGTAGCAACTTCACTAGAAAATATGTTCAAAGTAAACAGAGCATACGAAACTCTACAACACACAACACTCAAATATTTTCTGTGCAAATGATTTTAGAATTAATGTTAGTGAGAATCAGCAGTTATCTGTAGATTTTTGTATGTCACGAGCCGCAATGATTATTTAAGGGGTAGTGGTATTAAGCAGTGGTCTAAATCTATACAGATAGAATGAGATTCAGATTCATGACTTATTGATCGAGAAAAAAAGTGTCTAAAACAGTGACGGACATAAACTTCAGGCATAATATCGGTGCGTAGTGATCATCAATACAGTTCAGTTAAGATAAATAAATTGAGAATCATAGCACACGTACATACCTGTATTTTTATCATGATACAAAGCAACAATTTTTGCAACATGTGGTGGATGACTTCGACTGGGACCACTACATAACAAAACACTATCCTTCGCACGAATCACCATACCATCTCGTCGGTGTCGGATTGCAGGGTAACACTTGCAGAGTACTGGAGGTGAATCGGACTAAATATATAAAGAAGTATGAATATTAATACACTGTATGTATAAAAAAAGGACTAACGACTTGATTCTAGTGGTGAAGGGCTACAATGATTAACCGTTCAGAATAAAAGATAAACCTGATGAATTATCAAAATTGACCTTCAACACACCTGTCGAAGATGCATTTCCTTCACAAAGACGAGTTTATACCAAACAAAAACGTGTTGTAATAATAATAAAGTAAGCATTCAAGAACAGAAGGGTTAAGCGATGTAGTCTTCTCGACATCCTGAATGGTAATTCGACAATGTTTAGGATGTGTTCTTCACCGCCCAAATGCAAATTATTACTCCTAAACCAGTCTTCAGTGGCACCTTTTATAACGGTTAGTAAATGTTTGAGCACGTTGACTACTTTACTTACATGGGAAGTCCAATCAATCATGGTGGCTCAGTGACCGACAAAATCTCCACATGGATACAAGGGGCTCGATTAGCACTCACCAACTTTATTTATAGCACAGCCGTGATATCTGATTGCCCATTAAGAGTCCTGACCGACAGCTGCTACCTTGATGTAGTGGTCGAGCCTCCATAGCACCATAAATTTTGATGGTGGAAGGCTTGTTTCCTCAAGGTCCGATCATGCCAGAAAGATTTGTTAGATAAGATGAAAAGTAGCTACCGTTACTGTTGTGGTGTAAATAACTACACTGTGATGGAAGTCTGAGTACAAAGTCGTACTGCTGCTAGCTGGATAGGGTGTGATGGCAGCAAGGTATTTCCTTCGGATGACCTCAAAACTTTTCTTCGCTTTCAGATCCACTGGGAAGAAATAGCCTTTTACGGTGTGGGCAGTCGGGAAGTGTTAACCATACACACGCTTCCAGTAGTACAAAAGACTCAGACACACATACCAATCCCCTCAACTCCGTCCCCTCCTTTGCCTTCACCTGCTGATACTAATATTAAGCATCTTACGACTTACCCAACCTGTCACTCTGCAACAACTGTCAACGATCAAAGCCATCGAAACAGCATTCATTGTCTTCTAAGACCCTGCCATCGATCTTATGCAGGAGCTTGCAACGTCCGAACTCCATGCCTAATAGGATAACAAGCACTGCTCGCAAGAAATTTGGAATCTTTAGCCATGGATGTATGTTGTGTCTCTGAGACTCGTACACAGGATGCGAGTGTGGTTGTCAAATTGACCTCACCTGACCATAGTAGTGAATCTTCAAAATTCACCTCAACTATCCGGAGACCCAGTAGCTACCTCTCCTGGACTCGCTGATGTAGGCATAGCATTGAGCTGTAGGGCAGAAAGTATACTTGACGATTGGATACGAGTCAACAACCGTCTGTCTAGTATGGTACTGAATAGATCTGTGAAAACTAGGAAGGATCGTTAGACTAGAAGATGCCTATTTGTGATCTCTGCATACGCGCCCACCGACTGCAGTTCAAATGGTGCAGAGACTTAATTCTATGAAGAGTTGTCAATTTTGTTACAGAAACCAAAACGCTTACATGTACTCATAATAGCAGGCGACTCAAATAGGGGAGCTGAGCCAATCCAAAAGGCATCTTTCGGGTATTTACGGAATTCCATGTCAAAGAACCGATAATGGTGATTGTCTCTCCTAATTTTGAGATTTTTCTTTCTTCCCTTGTAGTGCTGTTTAAATCGCTGAGGCAACCAGCTTTCTGAATGCATCAACTAGCACTATCATGGCGAGCTACCTAAAAACAGACAACATCAACATTGAGACCTGACATCACTGCGTAGCTGTCCAAGTTGCAACACATATCAGGACATCTGGCGAGAGTCTACCAGGATGAGTTAAAGAAGTAAGGAAGAAGGTAGTCAAAACTGATAAAATCGTGAGAAGAGAACAAGGAGGAGTGAAACTACAATCAAATTCGGTATGAAGATTAAGATGAAGATAATGAGTGGATATATCTGGGCCACTGAAATCGTTTCTGAGCCATGTCATGTAGGGTCTCCAACCAGTGGTTGTCGCGTGAACCGCAATCTCTGCTCGTCTCAGATCAATAGTGAAGAACTTCAGGTACCGATGCAATTTTTCAGTTTAGTCGCGCCTTTTTTCATCGTAAACCTAATTCAGCTAACATTGCACGATTAGGCAGACGGTGAATAGGGATGCGTAACACGCACGCGCCACCTGAGTCAATGTGAACTCATAAACTTAGCGACTGACTTTCCACTTCTTTCTAAAACCCTATGCCCACACCTACGTTAATCGCGTGGTAACGTTACAACACGACCTTTGCTACGAAGGTAACAGTGGTCGGACATCTGAAGCCTTCTTACGTCCTCCAACTTGAATGACCATGTTTCAGTCATATAATAGATCAGGCAATCAGATATCACGGCTGTGCTATAAATAAAGTTGGTGAGTGCTAATCGAGCCCCTTGTATCCATGTGGAGATTTTGTCGGTCACTGAGCCACCATGATTGATTGGACTTCCCATGTAAGTAAAGTAGTCAACGTGCTCAAACATTTACTAACCGTTATAAAAGGTGCCACTGAAGACTGGTTTAGGAGTAATAATTTGCATTTGGGCGGTGAAGAACACATCCTAAACATTGTCGAATTTCCATTCAAGGCATCCATAAGACTAGATTTTGTCAGCATCTAATAGAACTTTCATATGTGTACTCTAGGTCTACTAAGGATTCTCTTGAGATGAGATCAATCCCTGTTGTCAGTCAACGGAAAGACCCTCATAAGTGCGTCTACAATAAAACTGAGTAGATGGAAAGTGGGTATTGTCGATGGACACCATTCACCATGGGCCGTAACATGCCCGCAGGTGTTTAAGTACAGTAGACTTGTACTTACTCGGCACTCCTTTCAGTGAGGTACTGTGGTAAAACCTCTTTGTCAACGGAGTTAAATCCTACCTTCAAGTTGAAAAATACAGTCAGTGTAGGGCGTCGGGTAAGTCTGCTTATGTTTCAGAACCCGGGATGAATGTCTGATCGACATGCCCAGGAACAGATATGAAACCTACTTGATTTTGTCGGGTTTCCTATTTCTGAGCCCCACTTCAACATCTGGTAGTGACAGAACCTTGGACACTGTCAGGTTAGTTCCCTAGTGGTCATCGCAAGATGAATCATCTCATTTCTTGAAGACTGTAGCAATCAGTGACTGAGACCAATCAGAAGGAATCATACCTGACTCCCACAGACTAGCTAATGCTTCAGTTAACCTGACCAATAAAGTACGACCTTAAGTACCTTCGGTGTCAATCCGTTTGATTCTGATGTCTCCCCTCGTTTCAGATTACTTTCAGCTTTATAGACTTTTGTAATTGTTGGAGACCCTATCTCAATGTTCTATTTGGAACTCAAATGGATAGCAGGCAAAGAAATATTAACTAGAAGCCAGTTGGACTGTTCCTCGAAGTGTTTAGTCTATAGTTCCGGTCATCTGTCTTGTGACTGAATCGCAGGTAGTAATACGACATAGTGGACTCGGAAAAGTAGACAAACCTGCTTCTAAAATAAAAATGTGCAGTGTCAGGTTAAGATTTCTGATTTAACATAGTCACTGATCAGACGAGTAACTTGAACATCTTAACTCCAAACCGGTTATAAAAGCAGCCATGCCAAAGATATGTATGTTGGTTCAAGTCGTCATGCCTTTTAGCAGTGAAATGAGACCAATAGAAATAGATCAAAACGAACATGAAAATATGAACACACGTAAAGCGATAAGTATATACACCTTTAAATTATGCCAAGAAGCTTGTGAATGTTAAAATTGTCAAGATTCTATGAAAGTATGAAGTCAATTTAATAAATGACCATGACGTAAGTAACTGCTCACCTGGTAGAAAATAGGCTTGACGAACGATTTTCCTTCCCATATCCAGGCACCTTTTTCATTATCTAAGTGCACGATGTCAGGGTTTACTTCCTTCGTTACATTTTCATGTGCATGTCGAGTTTCAACTGGACCAGGATTCACTAAAAACTCCCCACTTTGTGTCTGAAGGCTAGATGTATTTGAAGACGCAATCATGATGACATTCGTTTCCTGACTGTTAGCAACCGGTGTTTGGCAAGAGATGATAGGATAACCGGTTACTGATTGAGAAAAAGAGTCACGTGTTGATGAGTCGTCCGGGCAAACAGATTGGTTTCCAACCAAAGATTTCTTGTCCTGCCCTATGACTAACTGATCCGAGTTACAACACACATTTGTAACAACTGCTGGTTTACTTAATGTTGAATAAAATCCTCCCTGAGACAACCAGTTGGTACAAGGATTACCTGCGATTTGATAATACTGTGTCTGATTAATGGGGACCATCTGTGCAGGTGCAATCATCATTGGACTAATAAAGTCACCATTACTGCTAACAGGATTACTAAACGACTGATCTGGAATTACGCCAGGTTGGGCCCATGATGTTGGCAATAAAATAGGGGGAACAAAGCTGTAAGGAAACCCAGAACTCACATAAGATGTAGGCATATTCGAGATTGGTTGGAGGATGAGAGGATACGCAACTTGAGGTGTAACATTAGGATTAGGAACAACAAATGGTGAGGAAATATGCGGAAAAATAATATTGGGAGGTGAACAAGTGATAAATGATGATGTCATGTTTGAATTTGTGATACACGGTAGGCCAGAGCTCCACGAGTTTAAGCTTTGCGGCAAGAAAGAAGGACATACCGGACCATACATGATCTGACTAGTTTTTTGTTGCAACAAGCTTTCATTAAAATGGCAGTCATTTGATTTTGGATAAGGTGACCTGGGGAAGGAAGCCGGACTTTCTGCTTGCGCACGAACTATCGGGGTACTAAGACCTGGTAACTTGGGCTGACATACGATTTGAGATGTGTCATTCGGAGGTGGTACAACTAAAACCTGGTGCGTAATCTGTTGGACGCCATAAGTGTCATGTCCGAGTGGTATAATGCGCTGTGAATGAAAGCTTTCTATCGCTGGATTCATTTGGCAAATATTCTTGAACGGTGACTCCAAAGAACCTTTTTTTGGAGTAGGAGTTTGACAATTCTGTGTTGAAAATACATTGTCTTTTTCAATACTCAAAGTACCAGTCGTTTCTACACAATTAACTAAGTCATCACCAACGACTGAGCACATAGGCTCTGTAACAGCATCGTCCACTTCATCAAGGTGACAATTTACTACCAAGACAGACTGAAGCTGAGTATTTAACTCCTTGTTCCTTCTTCGATATGGTTTGCGAGGAGATTTAGAATTAAAAGCCCCCATGATAGCAGTTGCATTAAGACTAGCTAGACGTTTACCATGGACTTGGTTAGAACTTGCATAGTTTGGTCCTAACTCTCGCTTCAGTGTTTCATGAATTCCAGGACCTTTCTTTTTACGCCCCCGTGATCGTTTTAAACGACTAGAAGGTTGGGTAGTAGAGCCTTGCGTCTTGGCTGCTCTCTTAGGAAAACTTTGTGATTCAGCCTTCAGTGACATCTTTTGACTAGAATCCTCTCCACTTTCAATGGATCTGCCTACCCGAACACTCCTTGTGCACCGTTTGACACTACTAAGATGTCCGGCATTAGCATCATCACCGTCGACTCTTTCTTTTTGAATAGTCATTAGTTTACTGTTGTGGTATGGTGATTCACGAACATAAATATCATAAAAAAGGCGCCCATTTTGGGTGTATGTAACAAAGTTGGATGCCTTCCTCCGACCAACTAGATGTGTTGCCTTGTAAGTTTCAGATATTCGTTTCCGTTTAGTATGGTTGCTGGCACCCTTCATTCTCCTTTGTTTTGGATTATTTTCTCCTGCTGAACGGAGATTTCTGGCACTTGCAATTTTTTTTGAAACATATATTCTCTTGAAATCAGATTTGTAAGCAGAACCTCTTGTTTTCATATCAAGAATAAGTAAGTACCGTCAGCTGAGAATATATTCCAAATCAGCGCTCAAACCAAATGGTTCAAATAGTTGTTGACGCCATAGAATAAGCTTTAGCTCAACTAGCTTCCGCATCTATAATTAGTGGTTTTTAACCTGCGTAGGAGTAAAGAAAGAGCAAACCATCTTGTTTAAAACGTAAAAAATATGTTAGTTCTGAACAAATCCCACCCACATCTCAGGCCGGCATTTAAGGGATTCACAAGAATTAGCCTGGCCCACTGCTGCAGGAACATCATTCCATGGCTTAACAGCTCTTAGAGAATAAAATTTTTGTCTGATACGTTCCAGGCTTAGTTTCTCACAGCAAATGTAAAATGGTCCAGTCTAGAGAAATAAAACTAACCTTCCATATAACATATTGTTCCTTCTGATTTCAACGTAAAAGAGGTTGAACCTGCCCTGTGAGTGTTTCTGGGGAGTGCTAAAACAACGTACTCCCAATTGTTGACATTTTGATGTGGGAAACGAATATCTTGATTCACACAATTATACCGTAGATACTGGCCATTCTAATGATGACTTCTACAGTGGCAGGTCAGGGGATAGAAACAAGTAGGATAAATTTACACCTAAGCCATCCCTCATGACACAGAATGCTGAATGGTGGCTTATCGCCAATCGTTTATTCGTATAAATCGTCACTATCGATGAGCATGATTATGGTCTCACCGGTTTTGATCTTCAGTGAGCAACATTCCAATGACGCTTCATTGTCTTTCTGTAAGAATAACCTTTCCTTATCTCTGTAAATCTTCAAAGTTTAGCAACCTCCTTTAGCGTGAGGCATGATGGCCTGGCTATTAGGCGTATTACATCGATACAGGGTAAGAGGATATAAAAATTTAAAGGGTTTACTTTCTCAAGAATAATCCCCTTAGTATTCTCATAGCTGCAGGCTAACCTCCAAAATTAGTAGCTTATTGTTCAGCTGCCTTTGATACGGCCCCGGAAAAATTTAGTGTACCGCCACCAAAGTCTGCTGCTTCTCATGCTTTGTGATAAATGATGGGTCAAAGACATTGCAAACCTCGCCTGGTTAACTGGTTCACAAGCCGGATAAAGAGAGGAGGTTGGGCATATGGCTAGCAACCCTACTCCGTAAAACCAGTTCGATTGCTAAAGTAACTTCAGGACACAAAGAAAATATAAAAAATAAAAACAAAATTATTCCTCGCTGGAATCGGGGAGACGAAATGATACCAGTTGCTGAAGGATTTCGAGAAGACAGTTGGCCGATATGTCCTAAGAATGAGGACATAAAATGTTCGAAGCTGGCTGGCGGGCTGCCCAGATTGCAAAAGAGATGAGAAGATGTAACAAAGAAGTGCTAGGAATCTGTGAGAGCAGATGGAATGGAAGTAGACCCTCCAAACTGTCAACTAGAGAATTAATAATCTACTTCGACATGGTAACCCAGAAGACAACCACGAGCACACGGAGGAAGTGGCTATCATAGTGTCCCAAACAGCATCAAAGGCTCTCAAGTGGTAGGAACCAATCTCCTCTTGCAGGATCAGGATCATGTTAGCAAGATTCAACTCAAAAAGAAAGGAGGTCACAATCATGCAACGCTGCGCTATGCACCTACGGATAATGCAGATGAAGAGAAGGAGGAGGAACTCACCAGACAACTGCAATCAGTACTGGACAGTGCCCCTCCCCAGTTGGTGACATCAAAATTCTAATAAGTGGGGTGACATGAATGCCAAACTGGGAGCAGACGACACAGGTCGAGTACCTATCATGGGTCGAGAGGCACCCGGTGAAATGATGAACGAGAATGGATAACTGTTTGCAGACTTCTGCACATTCAACGATTTGGTGATTGGAGGCAGTGTGCATAAACACAAGGATATTCACAGGGCAGCCACATGGATTCGATTTCACCATATACCAGGACACACTACACTAAAAAATCGTATCAACTCCGTCTCAACCTGAAGAAAGTGGAGACTCAGCCTACTGGACGCAAGATCAGATCAAGAAGAGGAACAGATGTGGGTTCAAACTACTCACTCACTGTCTGGTGCAAGGAACCTACCTTCAAAATCAGGTTGAAGGCGTTCACAGGAGCTGGTGGTAGGAAGACACCACAAAGGACATCTTCACGTCAGCCATCAGAACAAAATGGGAGAAACCGGGCAACACCCCAGGGGACACCTGCGTGGAAGGACACTGGAACTCTTTGATAGAGACGTGGAAGGAAACCTGCATGATCGTGTCAGGAAGAAGGAAGTAGGAAGATAGTGAATGGATCTGGATGGACACATGAAAGCTGATAGAGCAGGGAGAAGGAGACGGTGAAGCAGAAGACGCATCAGTTCACTACAGGGATGGACAACGAAAGGAGAAACTGAGCACAACCTATAAAACACCCATCTGGACAAAGAAGTGAAAAAGAGTGCACGGAAAGACAAAAGACACTTCTACGAAACACTGACAAGTATAGCAGAACAGGCTGATTGTAGGGGGGACCTGACAACATCTAATAATCATGTTACTATCCGGGAAGAGATCAACGCAGACGAAACCGATGAAAGATAGTGAGGGGAACCTGGTTACCAAAGACGAGAAACGAGGAAGACAATGAGCTGAACACTTCAAAAAGCTCTCGGATCGATCACCACCACCACCTGCAACTCGTCCACAAGTACCACCAGCAGCTCAGCCACGGAACTACCAGTGAACCAAGCCTTTTGAGATAAACCGGACTCCCGAAATCCAGGAAAGCAACAGGACCAGATGGAATTCCACCAGAACCACTGAAAAAAGACGCAGAGACAACAGCGGACATGCTAACACCACTACCGCAGAAGGTTTGCGAGGAAGGAAGGAAAGGCACCTGTCGATCGATTGGAAGAAGGGCTACCTTGTCAAATTTCCAAAGAAGGGAGACCTAAGTCATTGCAAGAACTGGCGCGGAATCATGCTGCTGTGTCTGTTCACCCCAAGCAAACTATTATGCAGCATCATCCTGGAGAGACTAAAGGATGCACTGGATTAAAGATTACGGCCGCAGTAGGCTGGCTTGCTTCGGGAAGAACAAATCATGCGCCGGCCAAATTGCAACACTATGCGCCATCGCAGAACAAGGCATAGAATGTCAATGAAGTGAACTCAACCTTGGTTTCATCAATTTCGAAAAGGCCTTTGGCAGCGTCAACCAAGGAGTAATTCGGCAGGTAGCTGCATCAACACCACGCTTTTAGTGCCATACACCCTTTTCAACCTCATTCACAATGGAAAGCTCAGTGACGCCTTTGAAATGAAGACAGGAGTAAGACAAGGCTGTCACCTACTATCACCAATCATCTTCCTGATTGGTCGACTCGAATGGATCATGCAACAAACCATGAAGAGCGAGAAGAGGGGCTCACGCTGGCTGGACAGATGAGAAGACCCTACAAGATTCGGGTTTCACCAACGATGAAGATTTATGCTTAGTGTCTTGTCGCAGAAACTCGAAGGTCCACAGGTAAAAACTACCAAGTTGTCAGAAGAGGCAGGACAGCGAAGATGGGACTTCTCTCAGGTGAACGTAGAGAGGATAGAGGTGATGGGGATACCCAACCAACACCACCACCACCAACAACAACAACAAGCTCCAGTCATCATCAACGGGAGAAACCTTAAGGAAGTTGTCTCTTTCACCTACCCATCTACCTAGGCAGCATCGTTTTAACTACAGGTGGTGGTGGCGGCACAGATGAGGATGTCAAAGTCAGGATCGGAAAAGTAAGACAAGCCTTCCTGCATTGACCTGAAATCAATCAGTGTGCAGATCTTCTACACTCAGCATAAAGTGTGAACAAGATCTGGCTTTTTAACACCAACATCAAGTCAGTGCTTCTATGTGACGGTTGAGAGACTTGGCGCGTTACGAAAAGCATTTCCAACAAACTACAGACATTCATCAACAACTGCCGTCTACGCTCACTCAATACTGAAGATCAGATGAGAAGGCCAGAATAATAAGAATAAGCAAGAAGGAACTCTGGCTGGCTGCCAACTGGCAACGAACCAACCAAGAACCTATCGCCTAACAAACATGCAGGAGAAAGTGGAGGTGGATTGGATTGAACATACAGTAAGAAGACCGTTTGGGAACATCATGCGGTAGACCCTTGAGTGGAAGCTGCATGTGAAACGATGAGTTGGGCATCCGAGGGTGACATGGAGGTCGTGTGAGGAAGAAATGAAAGCTTGTGGGGAGTGGTGTAGCCAGGTTGAAAAGACTGGATAGAAGAGAGTGAAATGGAGACGTACTATTGGAGTCCCGTGTTTCACTAGGAACTCAAGGGACAAATAATAACAATAATAACTTTGAGAGTGAAGGGCATGCGAAGACATAGTATGTTTCAGGCGAGGCGCTACTACCAGATTACTACCTACTTCGGATACGTAATTTGCCGAACACCAAGGAATACGCCGACAAAAAGATGATTCCACCAATACCGCAAATACTCCGAAACTTAGCAGTGGTATACCATCAACAATAATCATCAGCTGACCTCACACTTTGTGGACGTCTAGCAAACTTATAACGACAATGATAATGATGAATTTCTGGGTCAGAAGCAAACCGCTTTTACTAGCGAGATCAGGTATGTGTTATACCCAGTCCACAACAAATGTTGTCATCGTCAGTAAGGTCAAATGAGAAACTTTGAAGTCCTAAACATTTATAACTGCACGAGCCTTACACCCTCAACACATAGAAGGTATATTAGTAGACGGCGTAACAGAAAATTGATCTGAAAATCCCTCCCGATCACCCTTATTTGATTGTATTGACATTTATTTTGACATTTTTACCTTCGTTATGGATGGCGTACCTTTGACCCTAGCCGGTGTAATGTTATTTACTTGTTTAACTGTCTTAGTTGACTTTACACTCGGTATTTGCCTTTGTATGTCTGAGACTTATTATAAATGTTTCACTTTCCTGTTACGTG